GCCTGCTCCGCGCCACCATTGCCCGCCGAGGGGAGTAGCTCTGACCTGGCCTCCCCGCGGGCAAGAGAAGTTTAGGAAACTCCGGGCGGGGAGCACCCCCGCTCTGGGGAGCACGTTCCTCTTCCCTGCCCCGAGCGGGAGCTGGAGCGGAGCTGGGGTGCCGCACGCTGGCGGGCAGACGCGGGCAGGAGTTGGGAGCAACTCTGAGAACGCCAGAGCGCGCCCGCAGGGCGGCCGTTCTTCCCACCCTTTAACTCACAGATGCCACACACACACCCCCCGCGACGGAAACGTTCTGCCGCTAAACTGGGCGTCTAAATAACGAAACGATTCCGAAATTGCAGAAAACTTACTCTTCTTAAAAAGCCCTCTTTGGGGAGAAGTGTATGCATTTTTCCGTCGAACCACTGGGTGTCGCTAGTGCGAGCTGGATTTTCCTCCTGCACTCGGGGCTGGAGAACCTGTTTCTCTTCATTGTCCCCTTGGTGGCACGTTCATGGGATTTATTTAACAGTGTGCACAAAATGATTGCAAGAAAAACAAGCTACAGGCAGAATCGCTATCTCTTAAAAGTATTTCTCTGGAAACAGCTAGTGGTTACTCAAAAAAAGTTTATTATTGAAAATGCTTACTGAAACTGCTTTGAGTAACCTTGGGGAGCAGGTGGGCAATAAACCTAAAGTAAAAAATAATTTAGGAGATGGTTCCCAAATATAGAGAATCAGAAACTACATCCATGGGTAATTTATTTAGAGTTGTGTATTTACATATTTGCAAACTTATCTCAGGGTTTATTTGCATACCATATCATAGTGAATTCCTATTTAAAACTACCTCTTATAATTTCAAATGGAGTAATATTTGCTGATGGACATAAACATGCCACCATCATTCTTAATGAAATTACTACAGAAGTCGTTTTTATATTTCTAAACCATGTCTACATGTAAAACCTAGAGTAGACACAAACTGCTATCGAGGGCTTTTCACGTGCTGATGATTTTAAAGAGAATTCAGAAGTCTTCTAAAGGTTTAATTCTGATTCAGTCATGCTCACTCACCAGCCAATTAAGTCTCCCCGTAAAGAGCTTTCTTACAGGTTCAAGCGGAATTAGGAAGTAGAATAGTACTAAGAGAAAATAAGTAGGGATTGGCTTTAGAATCTTAAATTATGTTAAATTATTCATATAGTTCAAAAGTTCCCACTTCGAAATGATCAGCGACAGCATATCAGTCTGTCAAAAGAAAAAACGACAATTTCCACAATTTGGGTCACCAAAATTTTCAAACGTTAGGTAACTGGAGATAGGTAATGAAGTTAATGCAAGTTATTCCTTATGGTCTGCAGAGCTGCATACGCTGTAAAGTCGTGTGAAGGTTGACCGAGCATGATGCATAAATACTATTATACACCCATCACTGCCCTTTCTCCTGCTGCAGGTTTATTTTGTCATTTTACTTTTCTAAATCTCATTTGATTTACGAGTCTGGTTCCATTCTTACATATAGTTGTTACAAGTAGGTGGAAAACGCTACTTCTATATAACAAAAGGGCACTATTTAGAGAAAACTCCTAAACAGTTACTGGAAAGTGAATGATTCAGGGGTCAATTTGCTCTTCCAAGGACAGTTCAAATAAGTTACTCCTAGCAGCCCAGCCATGGAAGCCACTCTGCGCTCCCCTGGGCAGCTCCAGCTAGGTAGGGAGGCTCTGAACTGGGGCTGTTTTCTACCCCGTAGGGCTCTGCTGCCGCCACCGAGCCCACCACACCCACCGCACCTAGAATGTAGTAAATTAACAGACAGAGATTATTGATATTCTCCTCATTTTAAAGACGATTTATTCCAAGGGGCGCAATACTGAGGCTAAGTCTAGGGGGAGACTGGGAAACCGCATGATGTGGGTGTTGGAAGAGATGGAGGGGCCCTGGAAGCTGGCCTCTCTGTTGGGCATGTAAGGCGATTACACATCTTCCTGGAGACATATTTTCTGCAAGAGCTTGCCTTTCATGCCTGCTGCTCAGGGATTCCCCTGCCCCCCACCCCTGTGGCGCAAACCCTCTCTTTGCTCAGTCTGAAGAGGGGGCCTGGCAGTTGGCTGGGGTTGGAGGTCCTGTGGTTTGCTGAAATGTTGTCCTCTGGCCCTCGGGTTTGCCCTAGAGCAGCAGGGCGCCGCGGCAGCCACCAGTAAATCTAATTCCGCCCTTCTGAGCCTTTCCCTCTCCCTGTTCTACTCCAGGCCTACTCCTCGGTCCCTGTCAGCAATATGAACTCAGGCCTGGGCTCCATGAACTCCATGAACACCTACATGACCATGAACACCATGACCACGAGCGGCAACATGACCCCTGCCTCCTTCAACATGTCCTATGCCAACCCGGGCCTGAGTGCCGGCCTGAGCCCGGGCGCGGTGGCCGGCATGCCCGGAGGCTCGGCGGGTGCCATGAACAGCATGACAGCCGCGGGAGTGACAGCCATGGGCGCGGCGCTGAGCCCCGGGGGCATGGGAGCCATGGGCACACAGCCGGCGGCCTCCATGAACGGCCTAGGCCCCTACGCGGCCGCCATGAACCCGTGCATGAGCCCCATGGCGTACGCACCTTCGAACCTGGGCCGCAGCCGCGCGGGCGGCGGCGACGCCAAGACCTTCAAGCGCAGTTACCCGCACGCCAAGCCGCCCTACTCATACATCTCGCTCATCACCATGGCCATCCAGCAGGCGCCCAGCAAGATGCTGACGCTGAGCGAGATCTACCAGTGGATCATGGACCTCTTTCCCTACTACCGGCAGAACCAGCAGCGCTGGCAGAACTCCATCCGCCACTCGCTCTCCTTCAACGACTGCTTCGTCAAGGTGGCGCGGTCCCCGGACAAGCCGGGCAAGGGCTCCTACTGGACACTGCACCCGGACTCCGGCAACATGTTCGAGAACGGCTGCTACCTGCGGCGCCAGAAGCGGTTCAAGTGCGAGAAGCAGCCGGGCGGTGGGGGTGGGGGCGGCGGCGCCAAGGGCGGTCCGGAGAGCCGCAAGGACCCCTCGGGCGCCGCCAACCCCAGCGCCGACTCCCCCCTGCACCGGGGCGTGCACGGCAAGGCGGGCCAGCTAGAGGGCGCGCCGGCCCCGGGGCCCGCTGCCAGCCCCCAGACTCTGGACCACAGCGGGGCGGTGGCGACAGGGGGCGCCTCGGAGCTGAAGGCGCCCACCTCCTCGGCCGCGCCCCCCATCAGCTCCGGGCCCGGGGCGCTGGCATCCATGCCTCCCTCCCACCCGGCGCACGGCCTGGCACCCCACGAGTCCCAGCTGCACCTAAAAGGGGACCCGCACTACTCCTTCAACCACCCCTTCTCCATCAACAACCTCATGTCCTCCTCGGAGCAGCAGCACAAGCTGGACTTCAAGGCTTATGAGCAGGCGCTGCAGTACTCGCCCTACGGCGCTGCCTTGCCCACCAGCCTGCCGCTGGGCAGCGCCTCGGTGGCCACCAGGAGCCCCATTGAGCCCTCAGCCCTGGAGCCGGCCTACTACCAAGGTGTGTATTCCAGACCCGTCCTAAACACTTCCTAGCTCCCTGGACTGGGGGTTAGTCGGGCCTAGCCATGCTGGTGGCAGGAGAGGCAAAAACACCACCAACAAACAAGACCACACATAACCACACCAAAATCAAATCCCAACAACTTTTTAGTTACTTCTTGTGTGTGTATGCACAATCTTTCCCCACCCTGTGCAAAGGACTGTTACTTTGTCATTGTATTAAAAAAAAAAATAAGCGATGTGTATATTATTAACAGAGACAACCAACCCGAACCAACGATTTCCCCCCCTTCAAAGGTAAATGATCTACAATTGTATATATGAAGTCCTCCTCTTTCCTCGCTCCTCACCTTTATTCCCTCTTTGCCCTCCCAACACATTCTAGCCTGCGCAGAGTGTATTTTTTAAACAAAATGGTCAAGCTTGTAAAATATTTGTTTTGTGCTCCCCTCTCCTTACACAACCCACACAAGTTTACAGGTCTGTGGCAATACTCTTAACCTAAGGTGAAATGGCCGAGAAACAAGGAGACACTAAAGGTTCTTTTCAAACCATTGTTCTGCAGCGAACCATAAAGAGATTAGAAACATCAGAGCCGTTTTTTACCTATATTTCTGATAATGCAGATAACAGATGTCTTAAATTAAATACATATATATTATGTATGAACTTCATTATACACATGCTGACATATGTAGACATCCTCCATCTACATAACATATAGAGAAGTAGGTAAGTGATACACAGGCTGCATTTTCAAGAATTGCCTGTCCAAGAAGTTACAAAGGCCACTCTGTCCCCTTCCACCTAGTCCTCTCCAACTTGAGGTTGGATGGTCTTGAGGTTCAATTACTCAGGAGTTGCCATCCTCAAGAACTCTGCTCATTGCTTTGCAAAGTCCCATGGTCATGTCATTCTGAGGTCACAAAACATGTATAAAAGTAGTTTCTATGTATGTATACCAGTTAAAGATGTTTTTCAGCAAAAAAGGGAATATGACAATGTTGGAGGAGAGATGTTATGGGGAACCGTATTTCAAAATTTGGTCCAATATTCCCAAACCCAATTGATTGTACCCAGTTTAATTATTGCCATCATGTTCTTGTCTCATCCAGTGGTATAATGCACTTTCCACAACTGGACATGGTGTTAGTATAGCCAGACGGGTTTCACTCTAATTCCTCTTTGCTTCTCAATGTTCTTAATTTATTGCATGGTTTATTCTTTTTCTTTCTTTCTTTCTTTACAGCTGAAATTGCTTTAAATGATGGTTAAAATGACAGATTAAAATGTTAATTTTTATCAATGTGATTGTAATTTAAATATTTTGATTTAATAAGGAAAATGAAAACAGATTTAAGCCGTGAAATATGTTCTTGATCATTTGAGTTAAGGACTTTTAATAAAGCAAATGTTAACAACGACAACCAAAAAAGGATTCCTGTTACTCTCTTACACTGAATTAAATCCAAAATGGATATTCTGAATAGGATAGTTTTCTAAGTCTGGAATTGATTGTAAATGACAAGAGAAACATTATCTAAAGCTCAAATGTCATTGTTCCAGCTGCTTTTATTAAGTGAGCATACAGCTCGTAGAGAGCAAGGAAGAAAACTCGGGTAGATAGGTAGACTTACATTGATTCAATATTCCATGAGTTGAGAGTTTTAAGTACGATCTTGAAGTGTACATTAATTTTTTTGACAGGAGTCTAAGCCCTTTTTGTTTCCTTTTAGGCTTTCCACAATGAAATAAAATATTATTTATTACCTTCTTCCTTAAATGTTAAGTATTCAAATGAGAATAAAATACAAAATAAGTTGTCTGCAACAGAGATTCCTGAACTCTGTTCTCATTAAAAAGAATAACAAACCTTCATCAGATTAGCTATGGAGGTAAAGGCAAGAGGGAAGTTAATTTACTCCTGCCAGGGGAACTGCTAGGCCATATTCCAACATAGCTGTGATTTCGGAATTTTTAAATTTTTTATTATTTCTAAAAATAGTGTTCCTAGAACTTATAGCTGGTGATTTGCTTGACTTCTGTTGTTGTTCCGTGCTGTTCAGTCGGTTCTGACTCAAAGCGACCCAATGTACAACAGAACAGCACAAAAAGCACACTGCCGGCTCCTACACCATCTTTCCAAGCCTTGCTAGGTTGGAGCCTATTGTTCCAGCCACTGTGTGCTGTATTCTCGTTGAAGGACTCCCTCCTTTTTGTCGACCCTCTGCCTTATCTAGCCTGGTGAGCTTCTCAGGGACTGGTCCCTCCTGATAACATGTCCAAAAAGACACAGGAGAGGAGTCTCCGCATCCTCACTTCTAAGGAGCATTCAGGCTGTACTCCTTCCAAGACAGATCTGACTTCTAAGAAGCTTTAAAATGCAACTTCACACCCCATAGTTGCTTGGGATCACAAAATCATTAATCTCCTTTGATAGTAGGTTCACTTTCCAGTCCACCTATTTCTTTGTGAGTCTTGTTCAGATTGACATCAACAATAACAACACCAGCTCAAGCAGAGGTTGGGCTCGCCTGAGCCCTGGTGTATGAACTCCTTTCTCGCCAGGGCTTGAACTTGGACAGCCTTTACTTTGATCACTCCACTCCACACCGCAGACCAGATAAAAAGAGCTGTGTGAGTCCCTTAATGATCTCGTAATTGCCTCCCCAGATGAGAGAAGGGGTGCCAGTGTAGCACTTGAGAAAAATCCAGAAATCTCAAATCCCGGCTCTCACTTCATCTAATGAAAGAAGGAGGAGAGGGATATTACTTGTTTGAGTAATTTTCAAAACCTTATTTGTAGGCTTCGGAGGGACGTTAAACCAAACCAAAACAAAACAAAAAAAGCAACTCAAAAGAGGGAAAAAGCTTTGGATCTGCAAAGTGATTCATATTTAAATAGAGGGCAAACAAATGTGGGCAAATTTGAATTCAAAGTGTACTATAAAGGCCTGTGTTGGAGCCTCGGAATTTTGCCTGACCTCACGGAATTTAAAGCGGCTCATTTCTCCCACTCTTTAACATATTAGCAATATCGGTGTATTGTGTTCACCGCCACCTGGCGCCAAGTCCCGGAGCTCCTGCCCTCTGACTGGGCGGAGACGTTCTCTGGCCTTGCACAGGGCGAGGTGCCCAGTCCAGGCCACTTCGGAGACCATCCTGGGAATCTGGAAGCATCTCTCAGGAGCAGGCCTTACCTCGGCCGCAAAGCCGACCTGCAGGCCTGGCTCCAGCCTTGGGGTCTCAGCACCAGTGGTGGCGCGCGCTCTCTGCCACCTCTAAGCGAGAGCCGACTCGCGCTCCCGCGCTTGCGGGCAGGGAGCCGGGGCAGCTGGTTGCTGGGGAAGTGGGGGCAGAGGCGAACCGCAAGCATCTCGAGGTGACAAGTGCAGTTAGATTTTCATTGTTTGGGCATTTTCCCCTCCTAGCGAATAAATCTTCTGTTGAGCCCGAGACCTAAAAGTCAACAAAGAAGGCCAGGCGCCTCGTTACCGTTCCTGTGGCCACCGCGGCCCGCGTCGCCGCGGCTGCTCCCGCTGCGTAATCCCTTCCTCGGAAACCCGAACACACAAGCGCCGGAGCGCGGGGGCTGGAGCGCCGCGCCCCCGGGCCCGGAGAGAAACAGCTGGGCTTCCGAGGGAGTGCCACCCTCCCCCTTGTTGCGGTCTTCGGGTTTCTCCATTTCTTCGCCCGATCGCTCCTGCAGACAAGCGCAGGAAAGGGAATCCTCACCGCTCCTGTCCAGCCCACCGAGTTTGCTTTATTTAGGAATTTCGTCCAAGGTGGGGGAGGGGTCCTGGGGCGGGGAGCAGGGAGGGAAATCCTTCTTACTGACCCAAGTGTAAAGCTCCCGAGCCCCTCCGAGTCTGACAACACCAGTGTATATACACTTAAAAAAAATATATTCAAAAGGAGGAAAAAGTGCTTAAAGTAAGCTTATGGTGCTGGGGAGGGAAGCTTCAGATCTTACTATCACGTCACGCTTAGGAAGGGCAGATCTGACATCTTTTTGATACATTAGAAAAGAAAAGGAAACAGGAGGAAGAAGAAAAGAGTCATCAGCTCTGTGGAGCAGAAACGCAAACTCCGAGGCATTCCCAAACAGAAGGCAGCTCTCGATCAGGGTTCTACCTATCGGTGAAGCCTGCGTTTAACTCAAAGATAAAATTGAATTTCCCACTCTCCTCTCTTGCTCTGTCTCCTAGCAGAACAAATTGATAAGAATTATTATGGGAGGAGGGATTAAAACAAGCAAAATCCTATTAAAGTTCTTAACTTTGGTTTTCATTGTCTGAAAGCTGATTTCACTGCAAGTACGTTGTTGGGTTTTTTAAAACAACATTTTCTCAGGCTTCTAAGATTTGGATGGACCACACCAGAGAAAAGAATTCCTGGAGTGATAAATTTGAAAAAAACTTGGTGTTTTGGCATTTCAAAAAAATCTCAATTTCCATGAAAATGCTTATTTAACTTCTTTGCAAAAAAAAAAAAAGCCTTCTAGAATCAATACAAATTCCTTTCAATGCAGACCAAAGTAGGAGACCTATAGTCCAATTTAATTAACCTTGTCTCAAGATCAATTGGTTTTCTGTTGATTTAACAGTAATATTGTAGAACAGTTAGCTATAATGTATTTTAATGTGATACCTTTATGTATCAGGAAGGAAAACCCACTGAGAAAAAGTACTTATTTGATAGTTTAATAGTTAAATTATTTATGCGTTAATAAATGTATAATGATATTTTGCTTTCAAAACAAATTTTAATTGTGCATTATGATAAATAATGTGTTTTACAACTGAATTAGAGTGAAGATAATACTTGTCTCACGATAATGTGTGCGGCATGATTGGTTATGTTTAAGCTAATTTTGGTTGAATTGGTAAATTTAGAAATAAAAATGTCCCTAATTAAAAAAGCATAAGCATCCATGGATAGGCAGGAAAGCAAGACTGTAAGAAAAATGAAATAACTTGGAAGACTTTACAACTGTCTGGTTTAGATAGCGAATCTATTTAAGGGGGAGAGTAAGGTTTTTTAATAATTCTATTTATGTATTTATCTATTTATGTATTCAAATCGCATTTGATTGCTTTCAATCTTCTTCTTCGTTTCGCCCCCTTTCAATCAGCGAAGTTAGGACTATAATGGCTCCAGTGGTATTTCTCCTCTTAGCTCCTTGTGGAGTCTGGGGCCTTGAACTTCAAACAGCTAGACTGCAGCTCTTCACCTATATATTTTTATTTTTAAAAACATCGTTGTAGCAGAAGATATGCGTGTTGAAAAACATTCATGCTGTTAGATTTAAAATTTGTCTTGGGGTAAATTCTCACGGTGAGCACTTACAATCTCCTCTTTTCTATCTAACTTCATTTCTCCAGTTATGGTGGCGGCGACTTCACAGTGCAAAAGCAAAGCTCAGGGTGAGAGTGTGTACCTTCTGGTGCGAAGTCTCCTGTTTTCTGGACGCCACTTCGTGATAGCTTGGGGTTTTCAATGTTCTAGTCAACCTAGAGAGCACAGGCAGAATAGTGTCTGTCTCTCAGCATCTGTGAGGAAAGGGCTTAAGTGGATCAGGGGCTCAATTGCTTCTCAATCCAGGTGGGATGCTGGTCAAGTCTTGGAGAAACTAAATGTAGAGCCGGTCTCCTACCACACACAGGCATTTTCTAAACTCCAGGCTGTCTTGAGTTGACTTCCTACTTGTCGCCTGTCTTCATCAAGAACACACACTCTCCCTTTTAGAGTTCTGAAACCAAGACAAACAGCTTGGGACACCCCCTCCCCCATATTGCCTGGAAATAGGGACCCCCTTATTCCACAGGAAATCTCTTCCTTAGTCTCCCCTCCCGCCTCCCCATGTCCTATATGTTTTTGTTATTCCTTTGCTCCTCTAATCATGTCCCTGGTCAGCTTCCAACCCCGCCCCGCCCCCAGGGAGTTGTTATTTTAAAACACAGACCATTTACTAAGAAGAATGACAGGGGCTTTGCGGCGTTTCGTTTCCTTTAGGGGTTTCCATTTTGAGGGCCCATTCGGCTTCACCGAGCAAGGCGACGCCCGCTTAGCGCTGTGCTCCGTGCGGGCTGCGGTTCTTCGCTTGACTCCGGTGGTTCGACGTTTCTGGAACCGTCTTTTATCCTTGGGTCCGGCGGACACACTCTGCTTCTGGACGCTCGGAACCTCACTCCCTGCAGGCTCCGCGCCGGCGTCCCTGCCTGCAGCGCAGCCGGGAGCGCGGACTCCCGCCCGGCCTTCCTCGCCTTGCACCCGGGCTCCAACGTGCAGGGAGGCCTCCTGCTCCGACGTGCAGGCCCCCTGCGGCTCACCCCCTGCAGTCACACTGCCCGCAGCCAAGGCGCATTTCCCTTATGTTCTGCCTGGTTAGTAGAGTAATGGAGCGGATAACCCGGATCCTTCG